AGGTCACAGCCAGTGGCATCCTCTAAGGCAGTGTCCCACAGGGCCTTCGTCTGATCTCCAGGTCACAGCCAGTGGCATCCTCTAAGGCAGTGTCCGACAGGGCCTTCGTCTGATCTCTAGGTCACAACCAGTGTCAGCCCAGGTCCAACTTCAGATTCCCCAACACCTCCAAGAAGCAGATAGAAGGACAGGCATCCTGGTAAGACAGACGCATCTTACTTCTTAGAAGCTGAGCTGCAACATGCCTTCTGAGACACATGACTTTCTTCCCTCCCATGAGATCTCGGGAGGAAGGTGGGTTTCCCAGGAAGTTTCAGGGGAGACTGTTCTCTCTCTTATTCATGCACCTGCAACCTTACCTCCCCTAGCCACGGAAAGTTATGGCTCCAGATTAGCATGTGGGCTTGGTGGTGGTAGTTGGGGCATTATTCTGCCTACCACAATGGTCTAAGTTTTCTTCTAGAAGTTTCCTCTTTCATACTTAGGTCTATGAACCTTCTCTCAATAATCCTTATGGACAATGTAAGGTAGGGCTGAACGTTCTCCTTTTCGCACATGACGTTCAAGTGATCTACCACCATTTATTGAAAGACCATCCTCACCCCCCCCCATTAAGTTGCAGTGGGTCCTTTGTTCTATGTTGAGTGATCATAGCATGTGGGACTCCTGATGTGATGGACACCAGCTTAAGGTAGGTAGGGTGTAAAGCCCTGGTCTGTAGTGTTCACTAATTTCCATGGCCCCCACGTCTGGTACCAATTTTCTGTCTTGGTCCATTTTGCATTGTTGTAACTGAACTCCAGGTATGGAGGCTGAGTCCAAGATGGAGGATATGCCCTCAGTAAGAGCCCTCTTGCTGTCTACAGTGTCCAGGCGGTGCAGGGCATCACACGTGACGGGGCTGAGGGGGCTGGCTCAGGTCTCCTTCCTCTTATAAAGCCCCAGTCCCATTCCCAGGATAAACCATTAATCCATTAACCCATTAATCCACTAACTCATTCATCCTTGGATGGATCACTCCATTCGCCAAGGCAGCATGACCCAGTTACTTCTTAAAAGACTCCTCTCTCAAGGCTTCCGCTTTGGGAACCAATCTGATCTCTCACCACACCAATTCAAGCTACCAACATGGATTCAGGGAGCCTGGAGCCTGGATAATTTAACAGCTGGCTCTGATGTCCCAGGGAGGGCTGTTCTGGCCCCACTGTATTGTCATCTCTGTATCCAGATTGTACACTGACTCAACAAGTGAGGCAGAATGGGGGAGACCTTTGTTACACTTTCCTCTGATCCACTTAGAACCCAAGCCATTTTCAGATGTCACCTACACTACCTGACATATTCTGGCCCCCAGAGTTGGTCTGGCGCCCTTGGTCATAGCAATAGCGGGTGAGAGAGGATTGCTACCCTTAGCCCATTGCCAAATCTCTGCAGACCCAACTGAGCCACTGTTCAGCAAAAGTTCCTAATGATCCTCTCTGTTCTTTTTCCAAGACAGTAAGTGTGGGCTTGGGGACACACACGCATTTACAGTGTCATCTGCCTGAAGTTTCTTTGCAATTAAGTCAAGTGATGGAGTGAAGGTATTCCTAGCCAGCTGAAGTTCTGTTTTCATCTTGGTGCAGGGCTGCAGAGACCCTGTAGGAAAGGCTGCGGGGCCCTAGACCATCTGGCTTCACAGTAAAGGTTCCCCTCAGGAGAGCCTCCTGGGAGGAGGGAAATCGTGGCATGGCTATGCTGGGTCTCCAGGACCCATCTGGGGATTTTCTGGGAATTCCATCAAAATACACAGACAGCCTATCTTGCGTGCCTGCTTGTGGAGTAGTTAGTTCCAGTGGGTGGCTTGGGGTCCTGTATATGCCTCAACTGTAGAGGAGCAGGCAGCGTGCAAGGACCAAAGCCCTGGACTAGAAAAAGAAGGCCCCTGTAGCCTCCACCCAGGCCACTGTATTTGGAAGTGAGCATGCGCTGTGCCCCCTATGGCTCCTATCTCACAGCACACAGGAGTGCTCCACTTCCCAACATCTGCCTGCACCCTGGAGCACTGCCATCCTTCCAGCCTGGCGTGGGAGTGTAGCCAGGTGGATAAACGTATGCATGGGGGTCCTCCCGGACCAGGCTTCCCCGTGACCGCAGGCTGGGGCCTCGGCTCCTGACCTTGAGCCTGACTTGTCTGCCTCTGCTCAGCTCTGGCAGGCCGGCCTCTGGAGGATGGAGAACCAGCAGGGCCAGTTTTCTAGAGCCGTCAGGGGCCCAGAGTTCATAGGGGGTTGAAGGGTGGCAAAGTATGAGTTGCCCGGTGCCTTAGACCAGGTCCTCTGAGACATGGACACGAGACAGAATTAGCCATGAATGAGACATTCACTGGGGGACATGTCTGTGGGGGGAAATGGGGAGGGAGCAGGAGGCAGGACAGCTGGTGGGTGCTGCTGCAGATCTGAGCACCATGGAGGAGGGAGGACAGATGCCTTAGGACAGCTGATGCCTTAGGTTTCCTTGAGCCCCGTGGTCCTTCAGAGGAGCTCCATCTCATGGGCACAGGCCTGCCTCCATGTCCCTGCTCTCTGTCAGCCTGTGGGGAGTGTGACCTCTACACCAGCACAGGGAAGGGTCTCAGAGCAGAGGCTGGGGAGGCCGGTCATCTCTGCTCCTCGCTGCTGGGACCCGAGAGGCGCATGTTGTGGGCACCGCATTCAGAACAAGGTGGACAAACAAGGGGCTAACTCCAGACAAAGCAAGTGGCCAGATCACAGGCCACTGGGGAGAGTCGGAGGTGCGCCAGGGTGGGGAAAAACCCCATCAGTAGCCCAGTCGGAGGAAAAGTAGAGTCCCAGGTTTCCTGCCTAGCCTGCTAACTCAGGATCTCTGGGGAGGGCCTGAGAATCTGTGTTTTTAACATGACCCTGGGTAATTCTGAATGCAGTCAAGCTGTAAACCGGTGGGCGTGGGGAGGGGACAGCATGATATAGTTCCCCCTGCCCCATGCCTATTACCCGCCAGATGTCACCTGGCTGGCCAAGGGGAAGGCAGTGGGTGTGCAGCCTGGGGCAAGGTCAGATACTAATCCCATTACACCCAGCTTCACATTCTGTGACCTACTCTCAAGGGAGCACTTAGAAGACAGAAAATGGGATCTCCCACTAGTCATGTCTCCACAGAGGGGTCAGTCTGGGAGGAAGGGGCCCTTTCCCCCCCTAAGGAGCTGGCTGGCCTTGGGAAACACACTTTTCCCCAGATGCTATGTCGAGGCTCAGAAAATGATGCCCTCAGGCACAGTGTGTGGCTGTGCTGGCACTTCTGAGCCCCCTTTGCCTCATAGCCCTGTCCCTCCCAGGGCACAGATGGGAGCTGTTCTCTGAAGCTCCTATGTCTACACTTGCCTTCCATCCCATCCCTGAAATTTCACTAACCGGAGAAGATTAGAAGTCCCAGCACAGGGAGAGACTGAGCATCAGACCCCACATGATGTCTGGGCTAACCTCAGCCCAAACTGTCAGGAAGGTTCATTTCCAAAGAGGGCTGTTCACAAGTTGTCTGCCTCCTGGGCCCACTCATTCCCCTGAAGATCATTTACTGCCCACCAAAACTGTCACCTCCCCCTTCCCAGGAAGAAGGCACAGAAGCAAGGGAACCCGGTTGGTGACCTGGTAATCACACTCCCCATGCTGTGTGTTAAATGAACTTTATCCTTCCCCTCACTCTGCCTTCTGTCAGTTGGGTTCCTGGATCCTTCAGGGAGGCTCTCATGCTGCCCTGCAGCTGCCTGTGAGGCCCACGGAGCCCCACGCCTCCTGTGCAGACTTGTGGGCCCTGGGTGTGGAGTTGTGTGTGTGCAAGACTGTGTCTGGTACACAGCCTAGCCAGAGGCTTCAGCTGTAGTTGGTTAAGGCCACTGCTCCCTCTTCCTGAAGTCCTTGCAGAACAGGTGACACTAGAGAGGTCTGGGGCATTTTGGGGATCTGGGTAAGGGTTAGTTGACTTGGGTTTTATAGGATATGTTTACGTGGGCCCCACTTATACTTCTATGTCTAGTCCTAAGCTTGGACAAGAAATAAAGGAAGGTCACACGTCTCCTCACCCCACCCCACCCCAGTGCCAGCAGCAAAGCACATAGCACTCAGGGTGGAAGGGGGGCAGGGGTGCTCCAGACAGAAGGCACGCCATAGGCAAGGCCCTGAGGCAGGCAGGACTGAGAGCAGACAGGCTGGGTGCAGTGCACAGGGGAGGGGCACCAGCTGGGCTGCGGGTGAGTGGAGAACAGGCCTCACTGGGCCTCTAGTCCATGGACAAGAGTTTGCTTTTTTGCCTCAGAGCTGGGGACTGCCACCCCAAGGCATCACTCAGATCTGTGTTTGAGGAGATGGGCTGAGCAGGTTAGAGCAGTGAGGAGCCTTCTGTAGCAGCAGCAAAATCTTCACCCGCTTGGGGGCCTCAGAGGACATTGCACAGAAGGGACAGCAGCCATCCAGGGAGTCCTTAGAGGGCACTGGCCCTGTAAACCTTGTTGGCTCCATCCTGGGGACTCAAGTTTGGGTCAGAGGGTGCTGTTCTCATGAAAGAATTTATTCACTAATTAGTCTCACTGTATCATCCCTTGAGGTCCCTTCCAATGGCACCTCTGCCATCACCATCACTGCCCACAGCCCATAACACCTGGGGCTGGTAACCAAAGTGGGGAAGGGCAGTGGAGATGAGTCCTGGGTCCCCACTGCTTATCTCAGGTCATCCTTCAAGCCCACATCAGCATCAGGGTGCCCCAGGCCTGTGCCCAGGGATGTACTGGAGCTTCCAGTCTTCCAGATAACCACGTTTCACTGCCATCAGAGAGGCCACTCCACTGTGAAGTCTCCACAGTGCTCTCGCTGGGAGCTACAGGTGTTGGGTTGTGATGTGAACACACACAGTCCACATCCTTGTCATTGAATTCTGTGTGCCAGGCTGTGAGTCACACTGGGGGACTGTGGAGCAGGGAGCCCCCAGGGACTTGTCAGAGGGGAAGGGTTTGTGTTGGTCCCTGGAGATCTTTGAATGGATGCTTTCAGAGATCTAGTCTCAGGGCAACTGAGCCAGTCCTGGTGCTGTCAGCAGGCCTGCATTTACCACATGCATTTCAGCAAATGCACCCCCAACACAGGAGCCATCTGCTTCAGAATACAGAGCACTCAAGTGACAAAATACAAGTGATTTCGGTGCAAACCACGGTCTGAGAATCCCGCACTAAGGAACCCACAGCTTTTTACAAGACCCCACAAAGAAAATATTTTGTATTTTATTGAGCCACAAGAGGGAGCTGTTAGTTAACTTTGGAAATCCTACCTCTGCCCCAACAGGAACTGAAGGATGCCCTTGACAGAGGGTGAGTTTGATTACGGCTTCCGGGTAGAAGCCACCCTTGCTTGACTGAAAGAGTCTAATTCAGATTCTAAGAAATGAAAATTCACAAATGGCCCAGAAAATCCATGGAGCCCACTATGTTCTGGGAATTAGTGCCCACCTCATGTGTCGCATGGGGGACTTGACTAGGGCTGACTTTGCATCTGATCAGTAGGTGATGCCCCCGGAGGGGCACTGGGCAACATCTGGAGACCTGTTTGTTTGTGGTAATTGGTGTGGGATACTACTGGCCTCTAGTGGGTGGAGGTCAGGGGTGCTGCTGAACATCCTAAAACGGGTAGGACATGTCCTTCCCTCAGACTAAGAGTTATCTCACCCAAACTGTCCACTGTGCTGAAGTTGAGAATCCCTGATTTCAATGTCAAAAGCAATTTTCTCTCCAGGTGGGAAAGGCCTCTCCTGGCTGTGGTTTATGTGTGGCTGATGTGGAAGTTTCTGGATGTTCTCATCAACCATCAGAAGAAGCAGGTGCCCCAACAGAGAGGACCTGCCATCCAGTAGAAGGACTCACCCCCAACAGGTGTAGCGGGGGCTGAGCAAGGCCTCCCTTCCATGTACTCTAAGTGCCTCCTGGAGAAGACACTGCTGTAGTATCACCATGTACCTGTGGGTCCTCAGCTCCCAGTGGGTCAGGACAGGCTACTGGGCCAGGGATTCCCTCATCAGGGTCATCAGAATGACCAGGCCTCATCTGCCAGCTGAGCCCAGGACAGGAAAATACAAAGGCAGGCAGTGGTCCCATGAGAACATTGAAGCCAACAGGTGGGGGGCATGGGAAGGAGAGAACAGGGTGCTGGATGGCAGAGACGGGTGCAGGAAACACCAGCAAGACTGACCCCTGCTCAGCAGCCCTTCTCAGAGAGGCTGGGGGCAGAGGGCCCGAGGCTGCGATGAAATACCCGTGAGCTCAGGGAAGATAGGCTCGGGCGGCATCAGGATGCAGGGGTGGGGCTGGGGTACAGAGGACCGGGAGGGCCAAGGAAGAGACGATGCTCTCAGGAAGAAGGAGCCCCGTGAGGAATCAAGCCAGGGCTCAAAGCCACAGGAGATGCAGACTCACAGATACCTGCGTCCAACGCCAGGCTCCTAATTCTCTCAGGCTACAGGGCCTGCCGTACTCATTTGTGCTTTTTAGCATTCCTTCTCCATCCCTATCACGACAGAAATGTGAAGGCGAGACCCCACACACCCCTCCTTCCTGGCATGTCTCATGGCTGTGAGAGGGGGTGGTATCCACCGTGTCCACACCTGGCTTCAGGTTCACGTCCCCAACTGGTCTGAAACTACAGATTGCTCCGTCTCTTCAGCATCTTCTTTGCATTCTCACCATTGCCAGCTTCACTTTCTTGCTGACTTGGCCTTTTGCTGCTTAAAACAAGGAGGACAGGGAGGAAAGGTCCCAGTTGGGACGCTGGCTCGTGCCCGCCCATGGCATGGCTCACTCAACTTGATTAAGTGACAAGGCACTGGCAGGAGATCCAGACCGTTTTCACTACAACATGAGTTGTTAAGACGTGAAGCCCCCAGTTTCCCTGTTGGGTAGGTGACCACCCAGTGCCACCATGACTGAGGTGCCCCAGGATGGACCCACCGACTGCAGACCCTAGAGACTGTAGCCATTGGCCAGCTTTGGTGACAGAGGGCACTGCCCAGCTCTTCAGGCTGGACTCTGATGGGGCGTGGAGTTAGGTCATAGCCCTCCTAGGCCAAACGGGACCCAGTAGCAATAGGGACTGTCAGGCCAGCACTTTCCACATCAGCCAGGCCCGCTGCTCGCTTGCAAACCTGCTCACATACGTCATCTCTTGGCCTGTCACCATAACGCCTCTGAGAAGGCCGACTTCCCAGCCCAGATCTCAGGCACATGGTGCACTGACCATCCTCATCCACATACAAAAGCTGGGGACCCCCACTGTACCTGAGTGACCCTGAGGTGTGGTCCCCGTATGCAAGGTCCTCATCCTGGGGTGCCCCTGGACCTCCTCTCTCCCTGGGCAGAGGCTTCTTCCTTTTGGTCCTTAGAGGTTTTTCTGTGAAAGACAGATGATCCCAGCCACACCTCTGTGACCTGAGACAAGTGCAACTTCTCTTGGCCTCGCTCCAACCCAGCCTGACATTTCTGAACACCCTCCCTCTCTGGGTCACGTGTGTGCTCAGTTCTTAGGCTATTATACCCATTTCACTGAGAAGGAAACTGAGGCTGGGGAAGGTGTCATGTATTCCCAAAACAACAAAGCTGGTAGGGAGCTAGAGCTTGGATTTGAACTCAGGTCTGCCAGGCTCTCACTGTGCTTCCTTCCATGCCACCCAGCTGACTTTTCAAGGCTTAAATCAGTAAGAAATTGAAAACAGCCCCGGTACCACAGCATCTATGTCAACATAGCTATGTCCTCACACCACCTATGCAGGCACTTGTCCATCACCAGGTTACATCCTGTGGCACCGCTGGGGCTGTTGCTGGCAGAGGAAGGAGGCTTAGTGTACCCATTTCATGGATGGGAAACCAGAATCAGATACGAGACATGGCTGGTGAGCGAACCAGGAAACAGAATCATCAAGTGCCAGAAAGCAAGGGGCCTACGGTGTGTCCTAACTGGGCCTGGTCATTTTCCAACATGAAAACCCAGAGAGGTTAGGTAGAAACCCCAAGGCCACACAGCTAGTTAGTGGGGAACATGGGACCAGCCCGAGAGCCTCCTGCTTTAGCGCGAGGCTGTTGAGGACTCACCTGGCAGCAGCCCGCGCTTACTGGGGAGCAGTTTGGTTTCAGTGAGAGGCACCTGGGCCAAAGCTGCCAGCTCAGACAGGAAGTGCTGCTCAGCTTCCTGAAACAAAGTGGGTACACTGTGGGCCTGCCCGCCTTCCTCCTCCTCTGTAATCCCCGCAGAATGAACTCAGACACTCTGAGCTTGGCTGATGGGACCCAACCCTGGGGTGGACGAGGAGTTTTGGAGAAGCCCTCCAGTGGCTCAGGAGCTGGGAGGAGGCACCTGTGAAGGAGGGGGCTGCTCCTGCCTGGTAATTGGAGACCGCGTGCCCACCCTGGGTCTCCATTCTACAGATGAGAACACTGAGGTGAGAGGGCCTCAGTGACCTGCCGCAGAGGTGGAGCAGCCGACTTCAGAGTCTGGGCTCTTACCTGTCACTGCCGTGGTTTAACCAGGTAGGCCTGAATTCCATGACTTATTAACTGTGTCACTTGGGATAGGAAGCTAACCCTGAAAGCCTCAGTTTCCCCATCTGTAACCGGGAGGGAACCGTAACAGTAGCCACCTCCTCAGATGTTGGAGGATGACATTAGATAGTGTGTAAAAAGCTGTCTGCTCAGCGACTGTCTATAACAGACCCTCAATAAATAAATGTTGGCTACCATTGCTGTCATTATTAGACAGAGTCTCACTCTGTCACCCAGGCCAGAGTGCCCTGGGATCAGCCCAACTCACAGTAACCTCAAACTCCTAGGTTCAAGGGATCCTCCTGCCTCATACTTCCAAGTAGCTAGGATTACAGGTACCCACAACAATGCCTGGCTAATTTTTCTATTCTAGTAGAGACAGGGTCTCGCTTTTGCTCAGGCTCATCTCAAACTCCTGAACTCAAGCAATCCTCCCGTCTCAGACTCTCAGAGTGCTGGGATTACAGGTGTGAGCCACCGTACCTGGCCTGAGTTGTAACTTTTATTTTTATAATTAATCAATTAATTAAATTTTTTTAAATTTTTTAATGAAAATTTTTTAATTTTCATTCTGTCACGCTGGGTACAATGCCATGGTGCCAGAGTAGCTCACAGCAACCTCAAACTCCTAGGCTCAAGTGATTCTCCCACCTCAGCCTCCTGAGTAGGTGGGACTATAGGTGCCTGCCACAGCACCTGGCTAGTTTTTCTATTTTTAGTAGCGACGGGGTCTCTCTCTCTCTCTTGCTTAGGCTGATCTTGAACTCCTAAACTTAAGCAATTCTCCCACCTTGGCCTCCTAGGATGCTAGGATTACAGGTGTGAGCCACAGCGCCCCGCCTACTGCTGTCATTCTTATTGTCACTGTTACTATTGACTGGTGGGGCACATGCCAAAAGGGCTGACACTGTGTTAAATTCTTCCATTCTGGAAGATTTGATTGTTTTTAAGGGTCGTCACTTTGCTTTATTGCTGAACCTTATAATCTCAAAATAATGAGATTTTTCTGTGATGAAATTGTCATTGTCCACCATGGGGACTGAGCCCTGTACATTTCAGACGCAGTGCAAAGCTCAGTGATGGCAGCACTGCCTGGGTGGCATCGGCCCCGACCCCAAGGCACTGGGGGCAACATGCACACAGGCCAAGGCTCGTATCTGTGTCATCAGCAGATGTGGAACTGAAATAGCCCTGCCTGCCCTCTGGGAGCTCACAGTCCTGCAGCAAGACTCAGCAGGGCGACCTTGCCAGACAGGGAGGTACAGGGTCCCCCCACATGGCCTTGTGGCTGACCCGTGGCATGGGGCTGGCCTTTTGCCGTATCTACTCCCTTTTAACTACTGCCCTTCAGAGGCCCCTTTCTGTAACTTGTACCTGCAGCTGGGTCTCAAGCTGGGCTTCCAGAAGGTCCATAACCCTTGCCTGGTGCTTCCGGGCGTTTAGGCGCATCTGCTGGTGCACAGGGAACTGTGCCAGGAACCTCTTCTGCTGGGCCAGCATCCTGGGGGAGGCATGGCGGGCAGTCAGTGCTGCCCAGGATGGCGGGGCTCCCGGCCCCAGCACAAACCTTCCCCTAAGTCTGGTGAGTTGAGGCAATTAGTGCCCATCAGCTGTCCTTGAGCCCTTGGAGTGCTGAGAAAAGCCTGGCCATCATGGACAATTGACTGGGGCACACATGCTCCAGCCCCAGCTTGAGGCCCCCCAGCAGGCTGACTCATAATAGACTGGACACCCTTTGACTGATACATGGCAGTGTACAGACTCCTGCAGGCACAGTTTTCATGTGAGCTTCAGAGAGGCTTGGTGGCCACTCCGGCAGAACAGAGTAGAAAAGGGGAAGAAGCCCGGAGAGGCGGGGCTGCCCTGAGGACCGGCAGCTGCAAAGAGGCTTAGCTTCTGGACAGAAAGGAATCTTATGCCCCGGGGAGGAAACTTCTCCTAAAAGGACCAGAGGGGCCTCAGCCCCTCCCTTAAAAATAGGAAACTTCCTCATATGCTGAGAATTCCTGAATTGGCAGGCACCAGTTACTCTGAGCAGTGAGGCCTGGAGCTGGGACAGAGGCCACATCCCTGACCCCCAGGAGCACCTACCTCCCTCTTGGGAGCAAACTCCCCTCCCTCCCTCTTTGGATACCTCAGCTATTTTTCCTCTGGCCCTCAGCAAAATCCACCCACACTGTTTCCATTACTGCTCCCTGCCTTCTTTCTTCCAATCTTTTAGGACAGGGGCTACATTTTTAGACCTGAAGGCAGAAGCCACCAAAGGTGGCTAGTGTTGTATGTTGTACCCAGAGGCACAACAATGCCACCTTGCTTTTGCTCCATGCTGTCTGCTAGTAATGCCTTTCTCTTCTTTGTCTGTGCCCTGCAAACTCCTATGCATCCTATAAGAGTCTGTCATCCCTCCATCTGCTCATTCATTCATGTGTTAGAGTATGTGGCCTGCCAGGTGCTGTACTGGGTTTGAGACAGTTGTGAGTAAAAAGCTCACAGGTCCTCAGGGCAGATACTGAATGACTATGTGACATAGCTAAGGTCAGTGCTCTGCGGTACAGTCTGCCCCACACCCTCAGAGGCCGAGTTTCACTGGAAACTGTGCCTGTGAGGTCAGGAGATGATGCAGGGAGGGAAGGGTATCCACAGCTTTGGGTGAGCTCCCAAGATATGAGAAGGGGTAATGTACCCCTCCCTACCCCTGCAGGCTTCTCTTCCTTCTCCATGAACCAGGGTGGACCAGGTGGCTACTGAGGTCCCCTGGATCAGAGGAGGGGGAGGGGTCTTTTCCTCCTCTTGGACTACCTGAGTCAGAGGGAAGCCCCTGGACCATATTCATTCATAATAACCCTGTAAGGTGGGGAGGGAGAGGATTCTTGGCCTCCCCCTCCAATTCCCTGAGTCTGAAGCTGTGGGACTCAGAATCTGAAAGTTTAGAAGGAAGGCTAAGCGATGCCTGAGTCGCAAATCTAAGGACTGTCAGTCCCATAGTTTGCTAGACACACAGGAAACTGGGGTGAGTTCAGTCCTTGCCACCCAAGAGCAGGGCATTTGCTGACTGCTGATAGTGACCATCAGAGAATTTATGGTGGGGCTGGGGGTTGGATGCTGGAGTCAGTCTAACTCAGGGGACACTACAGTTCTTATTTCCTACACAGGATGAAAGATGAGGGGCTGGAAGGGCCCTGTGGCCTGTGGCAGGGGTGGGACGCCAGCACAGCACCAGGCCCCATTACTGCTGTCTCATACTTGTAAGTCTCTCCTCCAGGCTGAGCTCCTGAGTGGCAGAAACTGTCCCTAGTACCCAGTTCAAGTCCAAGCAAAGAGCAGTTGCCCACCAGGGGCACACGGGAGCTGTGCCCACAAGCCCACAGCCCCTCGGAGGTCACCTGCACTCCAACGACAGCTCCTGTCATGCCACTGGGTACTTGCACTAAGCACCTGTGCTTACACTGTGCATCTGGCCTGCTGGGGGCTAATTGGACACGTCCAGGACAGACGCTCTAGCAGTGTGGATGGGAGCTGTGAATTCCCTCCCCTCGTAGCCCTTTGCTGGGAGCTGTGCCCCTTCTAAGGGCTCCATGGAGACTCCTCATCACAGGACTTACTGGGTTTTCCCACTTGGACACCGCATCATGATGGCCAATGATGGCCACGCCCCAGACCCAGGACCTGTGAAGACTACTTTACATGGCAAACAGGATATGATATCTGTGACTAAGACCTTAAGATTCAGAGATTAGCCTGGGTGATTGGGGGGTGGGGGTCCAGCCTAAATCAGTTGCCCTAAAAAGCAGAGAAACTTCTCCAGGAGGAGCATGAGGGAGGCAGCAGAAGAGAGTCCAGATGTGAGCAGGATTTGATGCTCCGGCTGATCCTTGTTGAGGGTCATGCAAGGACCAAAGATGGGCCTTTATGGGGTCAGGGCAGCCTGAGGCTGATGGTGCCTCTGAGAGCACAAGGACACCAGCTCCCCCAGGCCCTGAATGTGCTCAGAAGCAGATCAGGACTGGCCCCTGAGGAGCGTCAGCTGGTTTACACACCTTGATTTTGGCCTTGAGAGACCCAAAAAGGCTAGGTGAGCCAGCCCCAACTTGTGGCCTACAACACCGAGATAATCCGTTTGTGTGTGGCTCCACTGTGATGGTCGCTGTCACAGGAAACACCGTCTGCTCCTCACTTCCCTGCTCCTTACCACTTTTTCTGGGGTCACCACCCAGGTGAACAACCTACACCCAAATCCCTGTCTCAAGGTCCGCTTCTGAGGGTACCAAAGTATGAGTGAGGGTGGAGGTGTGTCGGGTTGTGAATGCCACTTAAACCTGCAAAGGAGCCACCGCCATACCTGTCCCTGCTCAGTGATTGACCCCAGGTGCTGCTGCAGGTGCTGAGTGGGGACCACAGAGCAGGACAAAGCTCCTGGGTTTCCACACTGCTTGGGGGAGGCAGATGGTAGGTGTGCGGTGACACATGCGCATGGGTGACATGGAGGGGTTGAGGACGTCATGGTGTGGGAGACCCCCCCCAAACCAAAGTGCAGACCTCACCTCTGGTGGACAGCCTGGGAGGCTTCAAGAGTCCCACCTGCCAGCTTGCTCCCCAGCGAAGCACTACTCAACTCTTGCTTTTTTCGTAGCTTGTGATTTTCCATTCTCTCACCTAGAGCAAGGAACACACGACTTTCAGTTTGTCATTTGGAGGATCGACTGTGGTGGGTCTTGGGCAGGGGCTGGAGTTTGGGAAGAGCAGGACACAACTGCTCTTGAAGGGTGTGGTGAGTGAGGGGACCCCATGGCCTCTGACACTGGCTCGGCATCACAGGAGGGAAGTATCCCAGTGCCCTCTGCCCCACTGCTCCAGCCCCACCTAAGAAAGATCCCTCACTACGAGGGCACCAGGAGGACCCACAAAGCTGCAGCAAACAGGGAAAATGATTCGCCAGAGTGTAGTGAGCCTCACAAATGTTAGTGCCTAAGTGACTCTTTCCAGGGCTCTGGGAAGTCTGGCCTCTTAGTCACACCCCACTTCTTGGAGCTCTTTCCTATTTGCAGATTTAGCTGCTAATGGTTTTTAGAAAGTTTAAACCTAAAGTGACAAAGTGCCCTGAATGGCCCAAGACAGGATTGGTTCATATGTGTCAGCCCAGCGTAATTATTAACAATACCCCCTCTGCTCCTGAGAGGTCCTGGCTTGACAGTCAACTATACCTGTGCTCCCAAACCCCCAGGCTGTGGACCAGGAGTGGTCTGTGCCGTTATGAACTGGACGATCCAGCAGGAGGTGGGAAGCAGGCGAGTGAAACTTCATCTGTATTTAGAGCCACTCCCCATGGATAGCATCCCCACCTGAGCTCCATCTCCTCCCAGATCAGCCACAGCTTTAAGTTCTCATAGGAGTGCAAACCCTACTGTGAGCTGTGCACAGGAGTGATCAAGGTTGTACACGCCTTATGAACACCTTCAGGATTAGAAAAATAGTCTTCCACAAAATTAGCTCCTGGTGCCAAAATGTTGGGACCACTCAACTATAGGACCAGCTCCTACAAGGCACTTCTCAGCTGGGTAATACAACCCACCAAAAAGTAGTCCCAGGGAGCTGTGCCAGGAGACTGTACACTCACTAGCTACACGATGCATGATGGCCACTGCTGGCATCACACTCACTAGCTACACGATGATAATGGCCACTGCTGGCATCACACTCACTAGCTACACGATGAACTATGGCCACTGCTGGCATCACACTCACTAGCTACACGATGA